AAGACATAATAATGATTTTATGAAACCTTTTGTTAATACTAAGAAATATCCATATACTAAAAAAAATATTGATATTAAGCATATTACGAAAATAGTTGTAACACGGATAAAATAATACTAAATTAATAAAATAAGGTTATAAAATTAGAAATAACTAAATATAATAATAATAAAAATTTAAGAATTTCGGAATTAGTTAAATTCGGCCAAAAGACAATTGCTTAAATATAATGTAGATACATTTGGAAAATTCATGCAAGGCGTAGGGTTTCTATTCGTAATAGTAATACAAATTCTTATTCGAATTATTCGTAATATAGTAATAGTAATAGTAATAGTAATAGTAATAGTTGACCTTTAATTCGAATTAATTATTCGAATAAAAATTCATTCAAATTAAAAAATTCATTCGAATTAAAAAATTCATTCAAATTAAAAAATTCATTCGAATTAAAAAATTCATTCGAATTAAAAAGTTTTATTCGAATTAAAAAGTTTATTCGAATTAAAAAGTTTATTCGAATTAAAAATTTAATTCGCTTTATTCAAATTATTTGTTTTATTTGTTTTATTCAATATCGGAATCTTGGGTTTGTTCATTCATTTATTAGATTATTTGGAATCATGGGTTGTTCAATTACTTGAATATTCAAACTATATATACAACAAGGTTTAATATTGATTTTATTATTATAAAAATCGAAATAAAAAATGAAACTAATAAGGAAAGACTGAAACAAGATTCATGTTTCTTTTAATAAATAGCAATCTTTCCGGTGAGCTTGAATTTAAACTGGACCTTAATTATTTGTTTTATCCGAATTAATTTTTTCGAATTATTTGCTTTATTCAAATTAATATTAATATTAATATTAATTTCCTTATTCGAATTAATTTTTTTATTCGAATTAAATTTTCAAATTAATTTCCTTATTTGAATCAATTTTCTTATTCGAATAATTCGTTTTATTCGAATTAAAATTTATTTGAATAATAATAAACTTTCAATGTAATTCGAATACTCAAATTCATAATAATAACGAATAAAGTGAATAATTCGAATAAACCTTATTCGAATAGAAACCCTAGCTCCCAACAGCTTAAACCAATTGAATAAATTAATGACAAAAATTCATGATTTAATTATTTTTTTAAATAGCAGCAATAAAAAATCATTTTAAAATATTTTATTCTTTAATTGCCACCAGCCTTTTAAACGCATGGGGCATGACAATAGAAAAGGGGAAAACTGCAAAATCATGATTTTGAAAAAGACCTACAGTAAAACCTTGTTATAACAGATTTTTGTTATACCGAACAAAAATCTTCTCCCTATTACTATTTTTTCTTTTATTAAATAAAAAATTTTGTTATAAAGAATTTTATATAACATGAGAGATCGAAGTTGAATCAAAAGTTGAAATGACATCATACAACGAGCTGAAAATACAGAAAATTAATCAAAAGCTTCAAATCCTCATAACTTGGTCAATATCTGGCTATTTTGAATAAAACAACTATCATTCGAATTCTCACAATGAGATGAGTCTAATACTAATACTAATGAGATGTAATTCGAATCACTAATCGTTGAGATATTTTGGTTTATCATAATATTATAGTAATAGTAATAGGATAATTTGAATTAAAATAAGAATTTGTATTATGAATAGAAATTTTGTGACTTTTATCCTGCTATGATGTATTTTTTGAGCAAATGTATGTTTTTTTAATCATTCTAAGTAATACAGGTGGATCCATCTTAACAACAGATTGATATAGAACTCAAATTATTAAAAGAGAAACAAAAAAATGAATCTAAAAGATAAAAATAAAATAAAAATATTTGATTTGTGATCATGCGCACTGTGTAATAGAGACATATTAACTATTAATATATTGCAGAAAGCTAAAAGGGAGGAATCATTAGTATATCAAATGGAAATTTCTGTTTCATGCAATTTATAATATTGGTGAACCTTGGTCTCATCTCTAATAAGAACATTCAAGCAAAACTTACAGCCAGCTACTTATATTCCAATAAATGCCAAATTGTTCCTTTCTAACCTATGATCTTTATGTACCCAGTATATACCATCATTACACTCATGCCATAATTTCATATCATCATCCTCTTTTTTTTTTGAATAGTACTTATAATATTTATCATCCTCCTTACTTATAAACATAATATCAGGTTGTCTTCCTACTCTCCCATCCCCCATTCTATCAGCACTTGCTTACTTTGCTGTTCAAAACTAAAAATATAAATATAACATTAGCAATATATAAAACACCTTTTTTTGCTATATAATATATAAACTTGCGTGGTAATGAAGACAGATTCTCCAAAAAGATTATTAAATAAGCAGGCGTTAATTAAATTGGACAATGACATTATTTACATAGGTATCTACTCGGAACAAAAGGCTAGATTATACCAAATAGATTTTAAGGTTTCCAAAATTTTAATATACTTCTTCATTCTCTTTACAGTCTCTTGTATACACTGATCTATATGGTAAAGTTGATGTATTTTCACATAAAAAATTGATATACAAGATTTAACTGTTTTCTTATAATTACATCACCATTAATATAATTTAAGTATTTAATGATAATTGGAAATTCATACAATGTAAGCCTTTGTGGAAGATCAATCTATATACTTAAACAAGTCTATTTATTTTATCATAATACAGTTAACTCTTCCTATAACAACAGTTTGATTGTAATGTCTTTCACAGAGAGTGAAGATAACTCTACATATTCCATTACTGCCTTTCCTGATGCTTGTCTCCAAGATTGATTAATTTTAATTCCACATGATTTCAACTGGTGACTCTCTTGTGCTGGCTAACAGCCTTGATGTTTTATTCACTAAAATAAAAATAAAAAAGTTTTAACAAATGTTTATGCAAAAACAAACTCTTTGTACAAAAATTTATCAATTTTGAATGAAAGCATACTTTTTTCAAATTAACAGATTATGAAAGGGAAAATTTGAAGGTATTATTTTGGTTATTATTATGGAGTTTGTGTGAATGAAAAGTATCATTGTGAATTGATCAACATATGGGAGTAAAGAAAATCCCAGAATAATCTAAATCGGGAATAATTGACTGTAGTATGGATAAATCCCTATATTACATCACTATCAATGATGAAATATAAGACAACTAATGATTGTTTTGAAAGAATTTAAAATATAATCCTGCTTGTTTGTATTAGTAAAGGAAGAAATGATTTTTGACTGAGACTGCAAATTTTTTATGGAAGGAGATTAAAAACATTTGATCAATTATTGATAAAAAAGTGAATGGAATAATGTGCAAGTCATTATTTTTGCTACAAGAAACACTAATGATATTGAAATGTGCAATAATTTTATATTATATAGTATTCTGATCCTATGCAAAATTGAGAGAATTGAAAAGTACTTTGGCTTGTAAAGGAGAAAAAAAAGAGATTACATTTACTGTTTTTATGAATGAAATCATTAAAATGTCTTTTAACAATTGGAGAAGCTATACTCAAAAACCACCAGATATCCATCCCCCAATGAGATTATCAAAAATTTATTCATTGTATTTTAATTGTGTAAATTAATAAATTAAATGTACTATAATAAATCGTAATCATCCAGCTGTTATAGTAGATGAAAAAATAAATTTGTATGAATCATCAGATCAAATGATAAATCAATTTTAAATATATTAATCATACCTTGTCATTATATTTCATGATCTTGCGTTTAATCTTGGAAGTATCTACCCAAGTAATAAAATCTTCAAGATTTCTGATTTAAATAATTAAAAATGATAGTAATGCAAACTTCCAATAATTTTAAAAAATGTACACATGTTTGTTTACCTTGTGACTAAGTATGCAGGGTCAGTGACAGTTTCAGGA